GAAGGAAACTGCCAAGAATGAAGCAGAGAAGTAACAGAGCGCAGTAAGGGGTAATAATTAGCCAAAAATAAGGCAGAGTAGGAGGTAGTAAGTGTAATGCCAAGATAAGCCAGGGAATGGGATGCCCAACGGTAGGGAAATTGTGTCTGCAATTCAACCAGGTCGGCAGGGAGCGTAACATTCAATACCTTGTTTTAGACAAATTGATGTGAAGGCCAGATATAGCCGAAAAAACGGTCCAATATGACCTGGAGTTTGGGGAGAGTGATGAGAGGATTGATTAAAACCAAAAGAGCATCATCCGCATAAAAGTTTGCCTTGTACTGAGTGCCGGCATAGGGGACGCCAGAAATATCCAGGTGATTTTGAATGGCTGCAGCTAGAGGTTTGAGAGCTGGTGCTCTGAAAATAGGGAAAGATGAGGAAAAAAACCCTGCATATTTGACAGAGGCCGAGGGAGACCAATATAAAGCCGAGATCCAAGCCAGAAATGCATCACCAAACCCCTATCTAGACAGCGTATATATCAAATACTCCCACAAAAGCAAATCAAACGCTTTATAATTGTCCAGGGATAAAAGAAACTTCGGTATCCTGTGGCGATGTAAGATATGAATATGATGTATGACTTTACGTATGTTATCAGCAGCTTGTCGTTCTGGAACAAAGCCAACCTGATCTCTATGGATAAGTGAGAGTAGATACTTATTAATTCGGGTGCTCAGAACCTTTCCCAGAATCTTCAAGTCCACATTTAGAAGCAAGATCGGTCTGAAAGCTTGCGGTTCAAAGGTGTCTACAGACTTTTTTGGGATCATAGTAATCTGCGCCTGAAGAGACTCCAAAAAAAGCCGGGAACCCTGCTTCAAAGAATTGAAAAAGGCTGCCAAATAAGGAACCAGAACGGTGGCAATTTTTTTATAGTAGAGCCCAGAAAACCCATCTGGGCCTGGAGCCTTGGAGGCCTCCAAAGATTTGATGGCTTGGTAGAGTTCAGATTCGGAGATATCCGCATTCAGGGCATCCTGGGCTGCAACGGGTAAGGAGGATAGGTGCAGCTCAGCGAAAAAAACTATCAGCATGTTCCGCAACAAAGGTATTCAGTTTCTGGTAAAGGCAGGACAAAAAATCCGCAAATCTATGTGTAATCTTCACAGGGTCTGAGGTAAGGCCACCGCCCCTCACTCGGAGTTGGAACAGGTTTATGCGTGCGACCTAGTGAATTAAGTTTCTTGACCAACATTGGGCTTAGCTATTTCCAGGTTGCAAGTAAACAGCATATTGTGTCTAAAAGCAATCACCACGCCCCTATGCTTCTCAAGGGCCGAAGCAGAGAAAAAGGTCGGATAATGGTGCGAGAGAGAACGCGGCGCGGAGGATTGAGAAAACCTTGTCTCCTGCAGACAGACTACATCCACATCTTGGGACTTAAGATGATGGAACACTTTAGAACGTTTGGTTGGAGAATTAAAACCATGGATATTTTGAGAAAAAAATCTTTAAAGGTTTTAAAGCCATACTGAGTCAAGGGAATTCAGCTGCCAAAATACTCTAAGAATAACGGTCCAATCCTCAAATGCAACCTTACCCTGGGCTGCCCCAGATCCGTGAGAAAGGAAGAAAAAACAGACAAGAAACAAGAGACAGAAGAAAAAAATGTACACTCTAAGGTAGTGCAACAAAATCACAATCAGTGGAAATTGCGTCCCAACCACATGGACACACATAGGGGGTGGCTCTACCACTGGACACATGGGTGAATCATAAACAGCATAATACAAAAAGAACCTTCATGGGGAGGGGAGAAAGGAGGAAGGGAAGGGAGGAAAGAAAAAACAATGGGGTGGGTGGGGGGGAAAACCTAACAGGCAAAAAGACAACGTCAAGTACATGACCTTAAGAAATGCATAATATGACAGCGTAATATACAAAGAAAATGTAAACAGGTACACAGACATATCAGCATATTAGAGATGAGGCATTCCCGGGTCACGGCCCAGACCACGAGCCAAGAAGACCCCCAGTATATATTAAAAAGGCACAATAACCTCCCCCCTAAAAGAAAAAAAAACACCACCAAGGAGCCGGCGGAAGCCAGGAATCCGCAAAACATAAACACAATCCAGGTATAACAGTAAAATTGCCAGAAACAAAACAAAGAAACCAAGGGGATGGGACACAAAGCTTACAAACATATCACCTACCCCAGAAAAAAAAAAATTTAAACTCAAAGCCGGACCGTGAGGAGCTGGCGGGGACCGAGAATCACCACCAGTACAGACCAGTATTGCATAGAAGAACATTTCAAACTGTAAAAATAAAAACATGAAACATACAAAACATACAGAAAGTTTGCCCAACAAGGGCCAGTCAAGGTCACCCCATCAGAAATGCGGAGAGTCACAGCATTGGACAAGCCATCTGAAAAGTGAAAAAGCTCACCCATCCAACCTTACTCAACCTGGATCGGAGTGGGAGGATCCGGACAACGGAGTGGTACTAGGGAGGGAGCGTTTACGGCTGCCAACTTTTTCTCATATACGCACCGGCTCAGATGGAGGATGTGAACTGGAGGGCCACACCGGGCTGTCGGAAGTATCCCGCGAGGGCAGAAGGTGTAGCACATCCAGGGTCGACTTGGCCTCTTTCGGATTGTGAACAACATGGCTCCGACCTTGGTACACGAACGTAAGCTTAAATGGAAAGCCCCATTGGTACTTGATGTGACCTTTCAAGAGGACTGACGTGAAGGGTTTCATCTGTCGACGTTTCTGTATGGTGGATGGTGCCAGATCCGCGAACAACTGGTACGGATGACCTTGAAAGCGAAGATCCTGCTTTCGTTCGGTAATAGGTAAATTTAATTATGATGTCCCTGGGAGGACCCTCAGACCTCCGTGGACCCAGGGCCTGATGAATGCGATCGAACTCCAGACAGTCTATCTGTATTGCCAGATCCAACTCTTGCAAAAGCGCGGTAGCAGTGGACGTGAGGTCAACGATGGCTTTGGGCAGGCCACGTAGGCGAAGATTACCCCGACGAGACCTATTCTCAAAGTCTTCCAGACGCAAAAAAGCCACGTCAAGCTCTTTTCTCAGATCTGAAAGGTCCTGTTCATGATTTTCTATCACCGTAGCCGCGGCGTCCATCTTATCTTCAAGAACATGAGTGTGGCTTCCCAATTCGCAAATCTCCTTGGTGAAATGAGTCGCTAGTCTGGAGGTGGCGGTGTGAATCTCCTTCTGCAGCATGGTCTTAAACCTGGACAGGAGGTCTGCGTCCCGCAAGGGGGGCTGTGGGAGGTCTGCAGGGATGTCAGGCAGGCTCTCCAGGTCCTAAGGGGCATCCGGGCCGCCCGAGGGTAGCGGTGGGGAAGCGGGCGAAATCGAGGCCGAGGTTTCTGCAGGCGAGTAGGCCCCATCACCGGTCCGACCCGGCAATCGAGCGCGGGAGGCCACCAATTACTTCCCCATAGGTGGCGGGGTGGTCAGCGGAGGATGAGGGCAATGGTGGGGGACAGAACGGGCTCCCCAGGAGGCAAAGAAAAACCTAATGTACCCGGTGGTGGAGGAGCGCGGCGATCAAGCGGCCATACTCATGCACTGCTCACAAGCCTCCCCCCCCCCCCCCGGGTCCATATTTTTAAACATTTCTTGTGCATGCCTATGAAAATGCTGGTAAGCTTTTCATTGATAAGAAATAAATCTAAGTGGCAGTGAACTTCTGTGAAAGGTACAAACTGTTGTTTCCAAGTTCTTGCTATAATTTTGTTTTGCCGCCAGTAATGCATATGCTGCCAATTTAAATTGAGACCTCATGAAGTCAGTGGTTTCAGGTGTATAAGGACACACTATGAAAACTCTTGGAAAGGGACATGTTCGTAATGAGTGTAGAGATTTAAGAACTTTTGTCCAAGACCCAAACAGGGTAGGACCACCAGAATGTCCACCATGTGTGGAGTACGTCCCAACAAAAAGAGCAGCCTCAAAAACCGGTACCAAGAGAGGACGGGTGGAGATGTACCAAACGAGACCGGACGATGTACCACCTTAAGGCAGTTTTAAAAGCCAATTCCATTGTGAATGTGCTAATGGAGCAGGAAGCCATTGTGTCCCAGATTTGTGACCAGTCTTCCTTGCCTTTGGTGGTTTGGAGGTCTCGTTTTCCCCTTGGAAACGTAAGTGTGGCTAGTAGGGCTTTTGAGATCATTCAACTGGCAGTGAAGAATAGAAAAAATCTTGGGAAAGAGATGTGCAATGGCAAATTTGCTCAAATAACAATTGAAACATCAGATCTTTATAAGTCAGCACCACAGTTAGCCAATGTTTAATTTGTAAAAAGCAATAGAGTTTGATGGATGGGGCCTAGTGCTGTTTTCTGATTTTCTGCCCAGGTATAAACAGAGCAACCAGTAAGAAATGAATGGACAAAATAGAAATTGTGGGAAAACCACCAGTGGAACACGCTGGGGGAATTGAAACCTAGGGGAATAATGGATTACTTAGAAGAGGGAGAAGAGGCAGAGGTGGTGAAAATAAGTTGCTAGAGTACTTGGTGGAATCCCAAACTCTGAGCAAGTGGGTCATTAGAGGCCTTATTGCTGTAGGTCTGGATTTTTGGGGAAGTCATGGGAGTGAGTGGAGGGAAATTGGGGAGCAATAAATAATTTCCAAGTTGACCCATAGGGGGCATGTAAAGAGAGGTCAGAAAAGCAATCTGAGTTGTTAAAAATTATTTGGTGAAGTTTGGAACTCCCAAGTTTCCTTGTTTCCTCTGTATGAACATGGTGTGTTTTGAGACCCAAGATTTTTTTTTTAATGACCCAGACTAATTGTCAGGAGCCGCCACGATCCGCGGCTCGGTGCAGGCGCACTGTGCCGGTTCACGCTAGTGTATGGGCACTAGGTCCTGGCCGGCCGCGGCGGAGACGGAACCCGCGCATGCGCACTCGGAGCCGCGGGTGCGTGCCTGGCACAAATGACAGCGCAGGGCGCGATATTTAAATCGCCTTGCGCTGACAGGTATTGCCGTTTGGTCTCCCTGTGTTCCTGATCCTGTTACCGTGATTCTTGCTGACTTGGATTGTTCTTGACCTTGCTTTTCTCTCCTGCTCTGACCCCTGGCTTACCTGACCTCCTTCCTGGATGCCCCCTTGTGGATCTGATCTTCTGTTGCTGACCTGGCGTGTGACCCGACCATTCTCTGCCCGTTGCTTTGTACTGCACTGCTCCCAGGGCTACCGACTCTGCTTGTCTGACCACGCTCTTGCTCATCCCATCCATCCACCCTGCCCTGGCATATCCGCCTCTTCACATCAGGCTCTCACCCTGCATGAACCTCTGGCAGATTCCTCTACCACGGGTAGGTGTACTCAGGAGCTGCAACCTGGTCTCGGTTCGCTCCAAGTCCATCCCCACCATCAGGGGCCCTGATGAACAAGCGGACCGGGACTTAGACTCCGCACTCTGGGGAAACATGACCAGTGGGCTGCTAGAGGTACCACCAGGCAGTTCCTTACAGTACCAAACGGCAGAGTCTGCAAGAGGACCCTCCCCATTGGAAGACATATGCCAGCACCTGGCGGCCCTGACCCAAGCCGTCAAGACGCTGCAAGATGGATATACCCATCTGGAAAGCCGCATCCAGACGTTGACTGCACCACCTCCCAGGGCCCGGCCTCCCCTGCCCCGTCCGGGGAATCTCGGGGAAATCTCCAGGACCACTATCCAGAACGCTTCCGCGGGGACCGAGCACGTTTCAGGGCCTTCCGGAACGCATGCCTCCTCTATTTCAACCTGCAGCCACGCATGTTTTCCACGGAGTCAGTCAAGGTGGGATTCATAATATCCCTGCTCCAGGATGAACCCGAGGATTGGGCCCACGATCCCCACCTAGAAACAGTAACAGACTTTTTTGATGCAATGGTCATACTATATGATGACCCGCAGCGGGCAGCCTCCTCAGAATCAGCCCTATACTCCCTTAGACAGGGCCGCTGGGCAGCGGAGGAATATGCGTCAGAATTTAGTTGGTGGATGGGAGACACCCGGTGGAAATGCCGCCGCCCTACGCCACCAATTCCGCGTAGGGCTCTCTGAAGCTCTTAAAGACGAGCTAGCCCAAGTAGGTCTACCCGAGTCTTTGGAGGATCCTTTTTCATTGGCCATTCAGATAGACCGCAGGCTGCGGGAACGCAGGTTTGAAAGAACCAGCCAGGGTCAGAGAACAACATGGGCACCCTTCCGGGGAGCAGTCCAACCTACGCTAGAGGGGAACCGGACTCCAGAACCTGTGGATACCCACGAGCCCATGCAGCTGGGACTGGCTCGGCCGTCTCTATCGTCCGAGGAACGCCAGAGGAGACGGTCCAAAAACCTCTGCCTGTACTGTGGAGAAGCCGGTCACATGGTGCGTTCCTGTCCGCTGAAAGCGAGTAAGTCTGCCTCCAATATTTTCAGCAGATATAGAAGAAAAAATAAACAGTCCAATTACTTAGCCATACCTATTTCCTTCCAGCTCCCAGGAAGAACCGTGGAGGTGACAGCTATAATTGGTTCCGGAGCATGCAGTTGCTTCATGGACTTAAACTTTGCCCATCAGCAGAAAATTCCCCTCCAGACTAGAGAACAGGGCCTTAACATATTTTTTGGCCGACGGATCACGAATTAAGTCGGGGTTGGTAGATCAAGAGAGTCCCCCTATTTCTACTACGGTAGCGGGTCATCATCGAGAGTTCCTCCGACTAGACGCTATAGCGTCTCTTCTTTTTCCCAGTCATTCTGGCGCTTCCTTGGTTGCGGGCCCATAACCCCCAGATTGATTGGAAAACCGGTTCCATTCAGTTCCTCTCCCCATATTGTCAGGAACACTGCCACGCATCGGGCCCCGCAGCTCCCCAATTCCTCCTATGCTCAGATGGAGACTCCAATCTAAGACAGGTCGTCCCTTCGGCCTACCACAGTTTCCTGGATGTCTTCAGCAAACGGGGGGCATTCGTCCTGCCTCCACACCAAACATATGACTGCCCCATTGACCTTCTACCTAGCTCAGAGATTCCGTTCGGTTTAATTTTTCCCCTGTCCGAGTTAGAATTAGGGGTTCTCAAGGAGTATATCGACAAGAACCTCCAAAAGGGGTTCATCCGCCCCTCCACTTCTCCAGCAGGGGCCGGAATCTTCTTTGTAGAAAAGAAGAATAAGTCCCTGAGACCCTGCATTGATTATCGCGAGCTAAACAAGGTCACGATAAAAAATCGCTATCCACTGCCCCTGGTCCCAGAACTCTTCCAGAGACTGCAATCCGCAGCCATTTTTACAAAACTAGATTTGAGGGGTGCATATAAGGGAGAGGGACGAGTGGAAAAATGGCATTTCGTACTCTATTTGGCCATTTTGAGTATTTGGTCATGCCATTCGGACTCTGCAATGCCCCGGCCACGTTCTAACATTTCATTAATGATGTATTCAGAGACTATCTTGATATTTTCGTGGTTGTCTATTTGGACGACATATTAATATTCTCTCCCTCACTCAAAGCTCATAGGGGTCATGTGACAAGTGTGTGGGAACAATTACGCCAACACGGTCTGTATGCCAAAGCTGAGAAGTGCAGCTTCGAGCAGCACAGTATTGCATTCCTGGGGCTGATCATCTCCACTACGGGGGTCGCGATGGATCCTCAGAAGGTCTCGGCGATCTTGGACTGGCCAGTACCCACGGATAAGAAAGGCATATAACGCTTTATTGGGTTTGCTAACTTTTATAGAAAGTTTATCAGGAACTTCTCTGGTCTGGTCTCCCCCATTACCCAGTTGACCAAACAAGGGGTCCGCTTCAAATGGACGCCCGAGGCTCAGGCAGCATTCGAGTCTCTAAAGAAATTATTTACTACCGCTCCCATCCTCAGTCATCCTGATTCCACTCTGCCTTGTGCCCTGGAAGTAGATGCCTCAGAAAATGAAGTAGGGGCCTTCCTGTCCCAGAGGAAGGGCACCAAGGAACTTCTGCACCCAGTGGCGTTCTTCTCGAGGAAACTTTCACCGGCAGAAAGGAACTACGACATTAGAGATCGAGAACTGTTGGCTATAAAGACCGCATTAGAGGAGTGGAGATACCTGCTGGAAGGAGCCACGCATCCTATTCTGATTTTTACCGACCATAAGAATCTAGAGTATTTGAGAACAGCAAAATGCTTACGACCACGCCAAGTGAGGTGGGCTCCAAAAACACGAAGCCCGACGCCCTCTCGCGCATGTTTGAGGATTCTGAGGAAGTTCCAAAGCCAGATACCATCTTGTCTTCGGGGAACTTTCTTGCCCTCCAGACGGAGCTACGTTCTAGGCTGCAAGATGCATCCCTGAGTATGCCAACCCTACCTGGGCTGTCCCTCCAGAGCAAGGGAGGACTCGTATGGAAGGAAAGACTAATCGTGGTACCAGAAGAGGTCCGAACATTGGTCCTGGGACACTGCCACGATCATCCGATGGCAGGTAATTTCGGGCTGGCGAAGACTCTCGAATTGCTCCAGCACACGTTCTGGTGGCCAAGCATGATCAAGGATTGTGAACTCTACATTAAGTCCTGCGCCATTTGTCAAAGGAACAAACCATCCAGGAGCAAGGCCTGGGGGGGGTCTGCTACGCCCACTACCTATTCCCGACAGACCGTGGCAAATGATTGCGATCGACTTTATAGTCGAGCTTCCTCTGTCCCAGGGCCACACCGCGATCTTTGTGATCGTGGACCGTTTGTCAAAAATGGCCTACTTTCTACCCTTGAAGAACACGCCATCAGCTCTTGAAACTGCGCAAATCTTCATACGAGAAGTAGTGAGGTTGCACGGAGTCCCTGAAGACATCGTCTCGGATCGAGGAGTGCAGTTTACTTCGAAGTTCTGGAGGGCATTATGTGAACCATTGGGTATCAGATTGTCTCTCTCCTCCGCTTACCACCCACAGACTAATGGGCAGACAGAGAGGACAAACCAAACACTGGAACAGTACTTGAGATGCTACACGTCCTTCCTGCAGGATGATTGGCTGGCACTCCTACCACTGGCAGAATTTGCCTACAATAACGCAAACCATTCAGCCATGGGGCAATCTCCGTTCCTTGCGAACTATGGGTTCCATCCCACATTCCTGCCCGATCTGGTTGCCGAAAGTTCAGTCCCTGCCACTCAAAGCACGCTCAATTTTTTTTTCTACCAATAACAAGGTGCTTCAGGATGCTATTTCAAGAGCCCAAAAAAACCTTCGATAGGAAGCGAAGGGGGGAACTAGTGTTGCAACCTGGGGATCAGGTCTGGTTGGCAGCAACAAATTTGAAAATGTCTTGTCCATCAAAGAAACTGGGACCGAAGTTTGTGGGGTCCATTCCGAGTGAAACGAATGATTAACAAAGTGGCGTATGAACTGGTTTCCAGAGACTTTCAAAATCCACCCAGTTTTTCATGTATCACTTCTGAAGCCAGCTGTGCCAGACCCCTTCCCGGATCTGGAGTCCAGACCTCCAGAGGCTATAACCATTGAGGAGTAGGAGGAATTTGTGGTGGAAGCAATCCTGAACTGCTGGAAAAGGGGGGGCCAGACTCAGTTCTTGATCAAATGGAAGGGTTATGGTCCCGAGGAAAACTCATGGGAACCGGCCAAAAATGTTCATGCCCCCAGGCTTATCCGGGAGTTTTATCGTAGTCACCCACGGTGGAGAGTTCAGTTGGGCACCTGGAGGTTGCCCATGGGGGGGGGCAATGTCAGGAGCCGCCATGATCCGCGGCTCGGCGCAGGCGCAATGTGCCCGTTCACGCTAGTGTACGGGCACTAGGTCCTGGCCGGCCGTGGCAGAGACAGAACCCGCGCATGCGCACTCGGAGCCGTGGGTGCGCGCCTGGCACCAATGACAGCGCAGGGCGTGATATTTAAATCGCCCTGCGCTTACAGGTATTGCTGTTTGGTCTCCCTGTGTTCCTGATCCTGTTACCGTGATTCTTGCTGACTCGGATTGTTCTTGACCTTGCTGTTCTCTCCTGCTCTGACCTCTGGCTTGCCTGACCTCCCTCCTGGATGCCCCCTTGTGGATTTGATCTTCTGTTGCTGACCTGTGACCCGACCATTCTCTGCCCACTGCTTTGTACCGCACTGCTCCCACGGCTACCGACTCGGCTTGTCTGACCATGCTCTTGCTCATCCATCCATCCACCCTGCCCTGGCATATCCGCCTCTTCACATCAGGCTCTCACCCTGCAGGAACCTCTGGCGGATTCCTCTAGCACGGGTAGGTGTACTCAGGAGCCGCGACCTGGTCTTGGTTCGCTCCAAGTCCATCCCCACCATCAGGGGCCCTGGTGAACAAGCGGACCGGGACTTAGACTCCACGCACTGGGGAAACCTGACCAGTGGGCTGCTAGAGGTACCGCCAGGTGGTTCCTTACACTAATCTTAAGACTTGGTTCTAGAATGATTTAAGAATGTAGGAAGGAATGGAAACAGGGAGTACGGAATAAATAAAGCTTTGGTAAGACTGTCATTTTTACGGCATTAACTAAGACGAAAGTAAAGCTTTTAAACACCAAAAAGTTGGGATATAGTTGATCTCCTCAGAGTGGATGATTACGAGCTGGTAAGGCAAATTCCTAAACAATTGAGGTGGGAGATGGGCCATGCAAAGTTATAATTTTGTTTTAATAATTGACCAAGCAAAGTTATAATTTTGTTTTAATAAAATGACTTTGACATCAGGGAGGAAGATGTTGAGGGCAGAATATTTACTTTAATTTACCACTAGTCTAGATATAGTAGAAAACTGTGCAAGCATGGATAATAATATTGGTAGAGTAGCATGGGCTTGGGTTAAAGTAGATTGACAGCAGACACACTGACCTAAAACAATGTAAGGTTGACAGCAATTTCTTTGATGTCTGGGTTGTATTTAATAAGGTGTGGCAGAGGTTCTGGAGCTAAAAAAGGAGTATGGGGGATTGGGGGCACCCCTGGCGTGTTCCTCTAATAATTGGGAAAGGAGGAGATTGGCAGGAAAGATATCAGAGTAGCTGAGGGACTATGGTACAGGGCTCTCAGCCAAGATACAAAGTGGGCTGGAAATACCCATTTAAGACAAAATAAATATCCTAGGAGAGAGAATCAAATGCCTTACGTGCAGTCATGGTCAAAAATATTGGTGGCATCCCTGCACTTCTGTCAGATAATGCACCAGTTTGCCCAGAAAATTGTTGCAGTTTTTTATTTCTTTTGTTTGTATTGGTATAACACAAAAAGTGGAGAAGCTAAAAGCCAAATCTGACACATTCCATGGAAAATCCCAAAAATGTACTGGACAAACTTTTTGGCACCCTCGCCAACTGCTCCAGGTCTCTGATTGGAATGGTACTTTTTTCCCAACTGCTGTTTTGAGATCTCTACATATGTACTGTATGGGATTGAGATCTGGACACATTGCTGGGCAGTTCAGTACCCTCCAGCGCTTTGTCTTAAACTATTTCTGGGTGCTTTTTGATGTGTGCTTTGGGTCATTGTCCTGCTGTAAGACCCATGACCTCTGATGGAGACCCAACTTTCTGAAACTGGACCCTACATTACACCCCAGAATTCTTTGGCAGTCTTCAGATTTCATAATGCCATAATGCCATGCACAATGTCAAGACATACAGTGCCTGAAGCAGCAAAGCAACCCCAAAACATCAGTGAACCTCCACCATGCTTGACTGTAGGGACTGTATTTTTTTTTCTTAAGGCTGCATTCACACTTTAAGCGATTTGTAGCTTAAATATCGAAGCTTAAAGCTCCAAAAACACTCATACTTGAGAAATCAATTGTTTTATTTATTTCAAGTACTTATATAGCGCCGTCAATTTATTTACAACATATTTAACTATATATAACCCTCATATATTAACTATCACATCAGTACTAAGGTCCCTAACTTTACACCTGTCTTTGTAGTGTGGGAGGAAACCCACGCAGGCACAGGAAGAACATGCAAACTCCAAGCAGGTGGTGTTGTGGCTGGGATTTGAACCAATGACCCTAGTACTGCCAGATGGAAGTGCTAACCATTTAGCCACTGTGCTGCATTGTTCTCTATGATGCCTGTTCCCGTGATCAGGTGTGAACAGGCACCATAGAGAAGAATTGATTTTTTTTAAGTTTGAGCATTTTTGGAGCTTTGAGGTTCAAGCTACAAATCACTCAAGTGTGAATGCAGCCTCAAAGGCCTCACTGCTGTTTCTAAAAACTGTAGAATGATGGGCTTTATGAAAAAAAAAGCTGTATTTTTGTTTCGTCTGTCCACGGCACATTCTCCCAAAGGACTTTGGCTTTCTCAGGTAAGTTTTGGCAAACTCCAATCTGGCTTTTTTATGTTTCTGTGTCAGCAGTGGGGTCCTCTTGGGTCTCCTACCATAGTGTCTCTTATCATTCAGATAGAGACATATAGTGCGAGCTAACACAGTTGTACCCTGTGCCTGAAGGCCAGCTTGAATTTGTCTGGAAGTTGATCAAGGTTCTTTCTCCACCATTCGAACAGTTCTTCGTTGATCAGTGTTTCTCTTTCATCCACATCCAGGGAGATTATCTACAGTGCCGTGGTCTGTAAATTTCTTAACAATGTTGTGCACAGTGGGCGCAGAAACATTGAGATCTCTGGAGATGGACTTGTAACCTTGAGATTGCCCATGCTTTTCCACAATTTTTGTTCTAAAATCCTCAGCCAATTCTCTGCTCTTTCTTTTTTCCATGCTCCATGTGGCACACAGACATACAACAGAAAGGTTTGGAAAATTTTTCACCATTTTAACTGGTTGCCGATATGATTTCTATATTGTCAGCACCTGTTAATTGATGCAGGTGAGTTTAATTACTAATTACAAGAGTATCACAAACTTTGAATGCAATTATTTCTTACAATTTTGAGAAGGTGCCAATAATTTTGGGGGGTTGCATGGAATGTATCAGATTTGGCATTTTTTTTCTCCACTTTTTTGTGTCATACCAATACAAAAAAAGACAACATTGTTAAATATGAGCGTGCCTAAACATTTGTATTTGCAACAGTTCTCTGGGTGAAGCGGTGCATTGTCTAACAGAAATGCAGGGGTGCAGATATTTTTGGCCATGACTGTACCTCCAGCTTGCCCATTATTTTCCAAAGACTTCTGGCCTTGCATTCCCCTATTTAAACATTTTATTCAAGGTGTTTCTCAGGTCCGACTTCCCTTACAGCTTCCTGTGCTTCCCTGGAAGCTTGATATGGTTCTCTCTGCCCTGTAGAAACCATCTTTTGAACCCATCAAGGAAATCCCCTTGGATGGTCTTTCCTACAAAGTAACCTTCCTAGTGGCTATCCCATCCGTCAGACTTGTCTCTGAGTTGTCAGCTCTCGCTTGTTATCTATACTCGGACAAAAAAGTCAGTAAAAAAAAACAGGCAGACTTGATGAACGTCTCAGTCTGTCTTTTTTTTCTGCCATCACTTTTCTAAGTTTCTAAAGAGCCATTCCTCATTCTTCACAATTTGTGCCCTACTCCAAAGCACTCAAAGAAACTTTCTCTTCCCTGCCTGGACATGGTTCAAGCCATAAGAGTGTATTTCAGAGCTGCTTCTTCTATCAGGAAAATAGACTTCCTATTCGTCCTACCCTCAGGACCTCGCAAGAGATAACCTAGCACTAGGACCTAGCTCAAAATCCACCATTGATAGATGGGTAAGACAACTCATCTCAAGAGATTACACTGTAAGAAACAAGACTTTTCCTGCACTATAATGTGTTCACTCCACCAGATTATTGGGATTTCCTGCGTATCAAGCCTCTGTTGGCCAGCTAAGGCTGCCACCTAGTTTTCTGTTCATACCTTTTCAAAGTTCTACCAGGTGGACATCCAATCCTTCAGATGTAGTTTTAGTCCTCAAGGTTCTTGCTGCGGCACTCTGAAGCTGGGTCACTTGACCCATTTTTGTCATGAGGCCTGTTGGCACAGTTCTGTTTCCTTAGTTGTTGCCCACCATTGCCTGGGGACATCTCTGGATCTATGATTATCAAGCCTGTACTGTACGATTAAGGTAAAAAGAATTTATACCTATCTGTAAATTCCATCTCTTGGAATACAGTATAGGACACAGACACCCTCCCTTCTATTCCTGGGCTCTGCATTTCTTGCTAAAAAGCTGAGGACACAGTGGGGTTTATAGGGGGATACCCATAGGGCACGTACTTCAAATAACTGATCTATATCTGCCTGTGCAATCTGCAAGGTTTTTACCTTCATTCTCACATACTGTACTTTTGAATATTGTTTTGAGAAAGTCTTGCCTTTGTCTTTAATTATCTTAACTCTTTGTATGCTGCTGTTCAAGTGTAGGGCAGTCTTGTGGGGTGACAAAGTTATCACAAAATGTTATTAAAAAAAAATATGATTTTTATATTGGGTTTACATTTAAGTTTTTTGTACCTTGTGATACAATGAAAATGTATTTTGATACCTGTCCATCACACCATTCCCAGTTCTTTGTTTTTCATATACAGTACAGTTAGGCCCATATATGTTTGAACACAGGCACAATTTTAGATGTTTTCAGGTATTTACCAAAACATATTCAATATATAGTTTTATAATGGATATAATTGCACACTCTCAGGTTTAATTTGAGGGTATGTGCATCCAAATTGGAGGAAAGGTTTAGGAATTACAGCTCTTAAGAGTTGCCATCCCCCCTTTTTCAAGGAACCAAAAGTAATTGGACAATTGAATCAAAAGCTGTTTCATGGCCAGGTGTTGGTTACTCCTTTTGTTATTTTTTCATCAATTGGGCAGGTAAAAGATCTGGACTTGCTTCTAAGTGTGCTATTTGCATTTGGTATATATTGCTGTGAACCTACATCATGCGTTCACAGGAGCTGTCCATGCAAGCGAAATAGACCATTGTAAGGCTTCAAAAATGAAATAAATCCATCAGAGAGATAGCAGCAACATTAGGAGTGGCCAAATCAACAGTTTGGTACATTCTGAGGAAAGAACGCACTGGTGAGCTTAGCAACATAAAAAGGCATGGATGTCCACAGAAGACAACAGTGGTGGATGATTGCAGGATCCTTTCTATGGTAAAGAAAAACTCATTCACAGCATCCAGACAAGTGAAGGACACTCTCCAGGAGGTTGGCATATCATCATCAAAGTCTACAATCAAGAGAAGACTTCACGAGAGCAAATACAGAGGGTTCACCACAAGGTGCAAACCATTCATAAGCCTGAAGAATA